AGTAGTACCTCTTCGGGCTCTTGTACACCTTTTTCTTGCTACGTGTGCGTGTTCTTTAGATCCTCAGATGGCTCCAGCACTTTCGTGACCACGGGCCGAGAGTCTTTGCTAGATTTTGGCATTTAGCAACTGGCATACGGTTTAATGTGAAGTCAACAACAACAACAACAACAACTTCTGTTTCTGTGTCTCGATTTCTACTCGAGTCGTCATCGCTCCGTCGCTCGTCGCCCTTGCTTGCTGATGTTTTGTTTCACTGACCAGTTTCGGACTGGGGATCCAAATTTACTGAAATAAGGACACAGATTTTGAGATAAGAAAATGTCCTGGAAACTTCCTGCAGGCGAATATTTTTCGCCTGCAGACTGGGGCGAAAGTGATTGGCCGGGGAGGACAGCGTCCTGACAGACCCTCTCATTCCGTGGCTGCCTGTTGCCCTGCTGCGGGAACAGCTGTCTCTTGACAGGGCGCTCTGCACCGCTCCTACTGTCGAGTGTGTGGGCGAGGCTACTATGTCCCGTCTACGTATTCGCGAACGAATCGAGCGTAAAAAGCGTGCTTCGGTCATGCTTTGATGTCGTAATCTATTCGAAGTCTACACCGATATTGTATGGTTCGTGTACAACATCGCTTTCATCTACGCGATGGCCCGTCTGGAACTCGACGACACGCCCACGAGTATCGCACGTAGGGACGCGACAGCATTCGTCAGCCCACAGGACTGCGTCGTCTTTCTACTTTTCACGCAATCGCAAGTGAGTGCATGTGGCAGCTAAATATATCGTTTCTGTGGCTCGGAGACGTGTACTCCGGCTATCAGCAACAGCAGCAGTGTGTCAGCATATCGTACAACAGCAGCAGCAGCAGCAGTATGTCAGCATCCCCTGGGTCGCGGGGGGTTAGCCGTTCTGGGTGCGTCAAACCTGTGCTATGTTAGACCCACATGCCTACGGAGAAGTGTGCACTGGACTAACAAGTAACACATCGTTCTTTGCTTTCCTGTGTGGTGTTCACGTGATGCAGGTTATGCTGATGCTGGATCTGCTGTTGATCCCCGCGTTCATCCCAACTGACTGTGGGTTCTTGGTAAGCGGACGGGAAGTTCTGTGCGTGCTCCTGTGTCGGCTCTCTTTCCCATGCCGCCTGAAGGACATGCGCTTGGTTTTCGGG